CAAAACGAAGGTAGGATGGTTCAACGTCGTCGCTTGATAGTAATACTGAATGGTGAAACTATGAAATAGAACAGAGATCGGCCTTATGAAATAAACCTTGAAAGCCTTCTCGTAGTCCCTGTTGAAGTGGAAGTATCTAGCGAGGATGTAGCAAGCTTCCGCTTTTATTTCATCACTTTCAGTCATGTTCATAGCATGCCACGCCAATCGTTCGACTTTATTCATTTCCTAAAAAACACTTCGGGAAATCGTAATGAAATTGCTATTGCCTAGTTGAGGTTTGTTCTACAAATGAGTGAAAAGCAGGAATAGTGTGTCGCTGTGCATACAATGTGCAAGATCTTGCAGCCCACAAACCAAAGCAACAATACGAAAATAATCATAAAAGTTATGCTAATTGCACTTACCCCTTTAAAAAAGAAGTGGTTAGCAAGGTGGACCAATACAACAGGATTTTCAGGTTCTAGACTATATGCCTGGCCTAGACAAGCTACTGCACTTTGCGCGCCTTCAACAGTATGGGTATTGTAATCCAAGATTGCAAGTGCAGACAAAGCACAGACATTGTCGTTTTGAAGTTCTAACGCTCGCTCGAACGCGATTCTGCAATTCGTTGACGAAGATGGCACGATTTAAAAAAAAAAAAACAGAGACTACTAAATGTAAAAAGAAAAAATGAGCAATTTCTTAAACACAAAAATTCACCCACCTCGCCTTGTCAGTCAGTCCTAGCCTTGCTAAACAATAACCGATACCAACCCTCATATCGGCAGGACCGTCTGGCTTCTGCCGCAACGCCTATGGCAAAAACACATAATAAATTGTAGAAGAATTCCCAAAGAAAATCAACTGACTCTTTTCAAAAAATATAAGGCAGTCTTATAGTCTTGTTTACTAAAAGCAATAATCGCTTTTCCCATCATTGCTGGTATGTCATAAGCATCCTGAAGAGAATTACGTTATAGAATTGATGTTACTTACATAGCAAGAAACCAGGACATTACCTGTTTGAGAACGAAGTTAAATTGTTGATCCGCTTGATCTACTTTACTGGCTCGCGCTTCTACTAAACAAAAGTACGCCCGTCCCGTTAAGTGTGGCATATCATACATTTTTATCCTGTCTGCTGTCGTATACAGAAGCGTCGCTTTTGAGAACAAATCGCGTTTACGCTCTTTAGAAGTCC